TTTAGTTTTGAAAACCTGACGTCATTTCTTTGGTTTGTACACGTTAGACGATGGAAACGATGGAAGTTGTTGTCGTTTTATTAAACGTAATCTTTTTAAATTTGTAATTTTAAATGAATTTGAGTTAATATAATAGTTTTTACATGTTTTAGCTTTTTAACGTCTTCGCGAATTGTTTGTATTTTGCATTTTTTTAATTTTATGAGATCCTTTTTTGAAAACCATATTTTTCATGAAAAATTTATCTCAATTAACAATTATTCCACGAGGGCGTGTTGGATATGAGATGGTTAGCACCTTACGAAACAACGACGGCTACGGCGATGGCAACGGCAACGGCAGCGACAAAAAGCAGTAGGTTTAGTTAGCAAAACAACAACTTTGCACGTGCATATCACGCTTTTTTGTACATTTCTTAGCCGTCCCTGCACGACGACGACGTGAAATGACCAAATTTTAAGTTTTTTTGAGGACGGGAAGGGCAGGCGATAAATTCTACCGTCTCTGACTGAACTCGGGCTTGGCCCTCTCTCTTCAGCTCCAACATAAACTCCCTTCTTTTAAATAACCGCGCGACTTTAAATAATCGCGAAATGGCTTGACGGGATACGGAGTCTATTTTTCAGGAACGTTTTCATGGACGTCGCCGTTTACGGATCGTAAGGTCCATAGCCAACGAGGCGCTTAGCGCCCGGTTGCCTCCAATCGTCTCATATCCAACAAGCACGAGTGGAATAATTGTTTTATTAAAAACGCCTACAAAACCTCGATGAATCTCCCCGACTTTATTTTGTTGGAACAAAACGTGTCACACGTCTATCAAAACTGTCAACGCACGAACGAACTGGATGAATTATCGTGAATGAAAAATCAATATATCATATCCAGGGCTGTCAAAAAGTTTTTCAGTAGCAGGCTGATAATGAATAGTAGGCGGCCTTGGAACTCGCACCAAAGGCACAAGTTCTTGAGGGCTGAGGCACATGAGTTGAAAAATAGCATTTTCAGGAGTTTTCAAGAGGTATTTTCCACCGCCGACGCCATGTTGCTTTGTCAGACTACACACAAGACTGGGAACAATGCCTTCGAAATGTCCCAGATCTAAACCTTTTTAAATATGCGTTCAATGTCATCCAAAACTGGAACACGGATGCTTCACATTTTTATTGGATGGTGCTTATTTTTTGTAAGAAGTTAAGGTAGAAGGAGATGAAAGTAGCTGGCTAAGGATGGGTAACTGGCCGGCTACCGGCCCTTATTGACAGCCCTGCATAGCTTGAACACTTTTAAATTTTAAATACCCAGCAGGACAGCTAAAAAAACTCGCAGATAATGAGAACAAAAAGAATTTTTAAGTGTAGCCGTCAAACTTACTGTGAAGTTGGATTTTTGGTGCAGTTACAAACGTAAGAACAATAGAGGAAAACTATTCCCTCGGTTGCCATTCAAAAAATCATGCAAAGCTTGTTATGAAGTTTTTTGAAGCCGCCAGCTGGTTTTGCTGAACGAAAGAAGAAGCTATACTCACGACTGATTGCTGTAGTGAATGGCTGCATAGCCTGTTATTTGCTTGTGATTTATATTCTTTATGTCGGATGATCAGGCTGCAGTTTAATTCCATCGGCGAGTGGCTTCGCGATCATGAAGAAACAATACTTGTCTTCTTTCGTAGCTAGTCGAGGTATTTTAGTTCCTTGTATTTTCATGTGTTTTTCGATAAACTTTCAAACAAACTCTTACGGCTTTTTTTGTTTGTTTGCTTGTTTTTTTTTATTTTATTTTTTCCTATGAAATTGCATTTTCGAGTATTCTAAGAATTAAAACGATTTTCTTCAGGCGCCATTCTATCCTTCGCGAAAAAAAATCTCAGGTTTGAACTCACGCGTACACGGACCATATATGGAGATCTGGCTCATATACCATGATGGCTAAGCCAGTCAACACGCTAGAATTACATTATCCAATGATTCAGTTTTTAATAGTAAAGATTATTATTATTTTTTATAAATATATGATGCAAAAATATTGTGTATTTTGTGTTCGATGTTCGATGAAACGTTTGAACTCGTTTAAGCACGGTCTAGCATCATCCAGCACCCGACACAGCCCAACAAGGTTTTCAAAAGGATCTCAAACGTTACATCTAGCAATGCTGGACGTTGAACCAACATTGTCAATCCATTTCAACAGGGCTTGAACAGTGGTACCTTTTTGAAGGAACTCGTGCCTCTGCCATGAGCATGCGCTCTAGCTATGCGAAAAATCTTGCCATAAGCTGCCAAAATAACGATAAGTGGAACGAAGAGGAATGTCACGGTTATTATCAAACCTGCCACACCAGTCTGTAGAGGAATCTCTACCATCGAGCCAGCGAATGAAGCTAGAACCCATACACCAAAGATTATGGCTAACAACGACCCTGTAATTTAAGTGACAAAAAGAAATGTAGAATAAATTGATTCAGTTCAAAACGCACGTTTTCATGTTTAAGTATCAACTGTTAATGACGGTGGGCTATGGCGTACATGTGGGCCCTTGTTATTTTTCCTTCTGGAAATTGCTGACGATCTCATGTTTTAAGTGTTTTGCAAACCGATTACGCTTGCTCTCGCCTACGATTTTTAAGCGCGCATAACCGTTTCACTCCCACACTGTCTGGGTTTTAAGGCCCCTTAAAATATTTTTGGTCCTGTTGACACTCAAATGCGTTTTCAAAAGTATGCGTTTTCGTTGTCATCGAAAACGCATCGATCGATTCTCGTCGACTCTACCGTTCTGATGCTTTTTAGTCTGTCCACAGTAAAATGTTCGAAAACGATACAATTGCACGTTTTGGGGTAAGTTGAACTCTATGCGCATGCTGCAAATTAAACACACGCGCCTGCGATAGTTTGGGACATCGTTTTCACCTTAATGCGTTTTTTAGTCCGGCAGCTTAGCTGCAAATTTCAGGTGAATAGCGCACTTTTTGATACAAGCAGGAACTTTGGCATACTCATATAAGTCCGCCAATACAAACATTTTCAGATATAGTGCCAAGCACAAAATACGTCGTTTTCCATAGAAACCGCAATTAATTAAAATTCATGAAAATTGTTGCTTGTCCTAGTTTATCCTGAAATACTATCGGTTTAGTCATTGGTATTAATCTGTTTTGCACGTACTTCTTCTTTATTACATGCCACTTAACCATGTGTTGCCATGGCAACGGAAAAATAAAAACTAAAGAGGCTATGTCACATCATTTACTTTCTTTTTGAAAAACCTAAAATGTGTCTTCGTTGCAATTGAATTCTAACTGTAATGACCTAATTTTGTTATTAACGACTTTATTTTCCCATCGTCGGTTGCTAGGATCTGAAGCAAAACAAGGAAACGTTGGGCCAACATTTTCAAGTTTTAATGCCGTGCCTGCTAAAATCACCAAAAAATATACAATGGTTTGTGCTCCTTGATGCTTCCTTTTCCCTAACTCTACTGGAGCATTGTTTTCAGTGATGGGTAAAGGCACTAAGCTTCAGCATGGAATTGGCACAAAACAACAATATCCTGATGACATAGCCCTTTTAGTTGCTTTGAATATTTAATATAATACAAATTAGTCAGGAATGCATTGTCCATCGCATATACAGAGCTAGGTACATGGAAGGTACATGGAAGGTCTGCCTTTGCACAATCACTTGCATATTCTGCTGCAACTCTTTTTACAACCACAGTGGACAAGCTCTTTGCAGATGACAGCCGTAGTTGTAGCATAACCCATTGTGGTTGCAGCTGATCTTTTCTTCCAAGGGTCCAGCCCCAATTTGTGGGTTCAGAAAGAACAGGCTTGAGGGCGGTTGCCTGTCCCCACACGTATCCTCCCTGATATGCGGCGCACTTCACGTGTTGTTCCAGAGCGTCACGAGGGAGCAGGAGTCCTTCCAACCCTCTCTCTTTCTTGGCGAATAAGTACTTTCGGGCATCATTGACCTCAAACAAATACCAAATAGTAACTATAAATTAATGCAAACATTACACGATCACAAGTTCTCAAGAAGAAACCGATTTTTTTTTCTAAGTTAACCCCCACCTTGCTGAAGTGGCTAGTCCTGTCGCAAATCAGAATGACGAATCGTACTGTGGTGCACAGATTTTCCTCAGAAATATTAGAGGGGGTCCCTTCCAGCTCGAGAAATGACTTAGTATCATCTGGAAAGCTCTACCACGCTACCCAGGCTGTTCTTTTTCCATATCCAGCGAAGAAGGATGTTGTGTCGCACCCTGTAAGTGCATGGAAGATGAGGAGAGACTTTAACTTAGATGGACCAAGAGCCTTTGCAAAGAGATGTGCCAGTAGGATCCTGTGGTTTTTTCTGGTTCCATAGGACACCCATAATTCCTTTAGGTCTAAAGTTGTCACAACTAACCCTACCACGTCAGTGTCTGTTGATCGAATCATGATTGACTGGTGACCATCTTGTACTGCATCAGCAATATGAACCATCATTCTTGTGTCTTCTTTTTCATGCGAACAGGGTGACAATTTATTCCTTCTTGTCGCAGGTGGAGAGCAGAGTACCTCTTCTCCTCGAGTGACTATGATTTGCTTGCCCTCGATCGCTGTTCTCACGACCTGCTCTGACACGAACAGGAACAGCTCCTTCTTGTTGTTATCTAAACATAAGAATTCTTGCCAATTTCAGAGTACCATAGCAGATGGAAGAACTCTCCTTCTGGCGCCAGTGCCTCTCTTCCGCCTTGCGCTGGCTTTTAAACTGTTAGGGATATATTCATCCCACACCAAATTCTGATTACAGGCAGCCTTTGAACATTTTCAATTGACTGTTTGATTTAGGCCAGAAAGACCTTCCTCGCTGTATTCCATGAACAGAATTGTGGCTTGAGCATCTGAACGCAGAATGCACCGTTCAATACAACAACCGACGGGTGTTACTCTCATGTGCCAATCAATTTATCAATGTACTGTATTAAGTCACATTTGCTGCCTGACCTAATTCTCATACAGTCCGATAATGAAGGAGGAGAGCCTTGATTTTCATGAGAAAGAAAAACATCGAGGTCGCCATCTCGACTTTGACATCCGATGTATAGCTTCGAAAACAGCCGTTTCTACAGATATTAGCTTCATTTTCGCTTTTAATGTTGAACTCTTAGATCCTGGTTTCCAAAAAGGAAGATTATTTCTTGAAATGTCGATTAGCTTAGATCTCTCCGTAAGCCTACCTTTCTTTGATGAAGAGTTCATACTGAGCCTTTCCAATTGACTCAATGTTGCTCAAAGTAGCTTTGCTGGATCAGCTATATGTCTTTCGATACAAGTGAGATCAGGTCTGTGCTTTCCTCTTCAAATGGGTTGCCAAGCTGTTCTATAGTAGAAACCAGAGATTGAACATGACTTATGAAACCCGCTTGACAAGCCCTGGATTGCTCATGGTAGGGTGTGCAAGTCTGGTCGGTGTTGTCCTCCTCTACTGTACTCTCAAACTCTTTTACCACTCTTGCCAGCTCCGGTCAAGCCACCATCCATCTTAAAAGCGCACCAGGAGTCTCAGTGATTCCAATAACTCCGCCGTCCCCCTTGATTAACTCATTATTTTGTTCATGAGCCTGGTCTAGTGGTATACAAGAAAAAGTTTTCCTCATCTTCTGCACTGTAAATTTTCCACCACTTGTCGAGAACTCCTTGTAGACACGCGGTTGTTTATTTGGTAGTTCTACCATGTCCCTAGTATGTACAGGTAGCCACTGCGAATAATTAGTGCGATCTAGAGCGAACGTCCAAGGGGTAATTGCCATCAAAGCAGCTGTATACTGTCTGAAGTCCGATTGTCGAAAGGAGCGCATGAGAATGACAATAAGTAACTCAAACGTGAGGGTCATATTCCAGAATTGGAACTGTGGGATCTTGCTGGCATGATCTTTGCACCATTCGGGGAATGGAGGAGCGTTCTCCTTGGATTTTGCGTAGTAATTCTTGTAGGGCCTCTGTTGAGGATGCCGTAACTTGATGGACGTATCTTGTACGTGTAATGTGCGTAGAAGTTACTAAAGACTCAGCCCTTCCAGTCGTGGTTATCCCGGCTTGAGCAATAGCCTCTGTCCATCCACTTCCCAACAGCCATGATCCTATTGCTTTGAGACAGCTACTCTATGAAAAGTCCACCAAGCATAACTACCAGTTTATCTTCTCCCATGGTGTCTGGATATCTCCATTGTATTTCCTCAGCTAAACCATATATGGGTTGATCGAATGCTATAACTGCGGCTTGCCCTTGGTCGGAGGTGTTCAACAGCTTTCATAGAAACAGTTATGCCATGCTAGATCATGGCTATAGAGTGCGCAGCTTCTGCAAAAAGAGGCAGCAACCAACTCTGGCATCGTGCGTTTTCGCGTTTCTGTCGTTCTCCGTGGTAAGTAGACCATGATACTATTCCTGTTGAGTTCTTGTCAGGGGCTTTTCCATTTCCAGCTTGCTTGGCAACCGTGGGTTGCGTATCCTCTTTGTCTCTCTCTCTCCCTCTGTGTTGGTGGTCTTCTACATTCTGCCTCATATGGTTGAGCCATTCAGTCTCTTTCATTGTGGTCAGCGATAGTGCTTCATCATCACCCTTTACATTACACTGCATACTTGGCACTCTTAAACCACCTTGTTTAATTTTTGACATGACGAAGGGGGTAAATGATGTAGCTGGATGGCAGTGGACGTGTAGTCTTTGATTCAGACACATTTCTTTGCTTAATTAAGGCTTGCGTTTTCCAACCCCTCCCCTTCCACAGTTAAGGGTGCTGTATTAGTGAAATGCTGGTGCCATGAAATGAACTTACTGCCGTTGTCCACGAAGTGTTGGGGTCGAGATTATCAACCGCGGCTGTAGTGAATACGTTTGTTTTCAAGTTCGGAGGGCATACCGTGTCCGTCTCCTTGAAGTGTTCACAAAAAACGTTTGCCATATCTGACGACAATCGTAGTACCCCATCGGACGAAATTGACATGCCAAGTTAATGTAGTCTATAAGATCCCTCTTGCGTGTTTTCATATGAAGCATCACACCGATGTGAACTGGTAATGGAGTCTCTTGACTTTTGACAAGCCGAGTACATTCTTCTGTTTTACGGGTGTGCTTCACGCTATTGAATTTAAGAAGCTTGGCTTCTCAGTTGACTTGCATTTAGTTTTTGGCTCTTCTTTCTGGCAAATAATACATTTTAACCAGTCAATAGTTTGATGTTGCTGCATGATTTCCATGTCTTCTCGTCAACCAATTTTTTTTTTGGTTCTCCGATCAAACCGGCCTGTTTCTCCATGTATGATAAAAATAGTATCTTCTAGCTGCAACGATCGAGTTGCATGCCCCAAATTCAGAGTGAAAACCAAGAGAAAGTTGAGAAAAACAACGTGCTGATAAATTCCAAATTACGGCCTGTATTCATTTAATTTTCCGAGAAAGTCAAAATTATTAGTATAAAAAATATTATATGTAAATAGTTTCTTAATAGTTTATTGATAATCAATTTTTGATGTCATAAATTCTATATGCAAATAGTTTCTTAATAATTGTTTATTGACAATTCTTGAGTATTTTTTGGTTTGTTTGTTTGTTTGTTTGTTTTTTGTTACCTGTACTACTAATATTTGTGTCTGAAAAGCCCCCATGGGTAGTTGACAATAAAATTTGTATTGTATTGTATTGTATTGTAAAAAAGAAGGGAAGAAAATAACAATTTGAATTTAAGCAATTGTATATGTATTTTGAAAGGAAACGTGGATTTAATCACAAAAAGCAGCAAGAAATGTACTGCGCGGGGGTCTCGCGTCCGAAAATTTACTTGCTTCTAACTATCTGAAATTATAAAATTTCCCTTGGCACTATATCTGGATATGACTAGTATGAGAATGTATATGTTCCTACAAAGTTTGGTGCTTGTATCAAAAATCGCAAAATTTTCAAGCTAAACCACCGTCCACACTTATACGATGTGTATGCATTTTGGTTCTGATCCACTTTCAAGAGCGTTTTCAAATCGATGCGTTTTCGATGAAACCGCTTAGCGTATAAGTGTGGATGGAGAGGCCTAAACGCATCCAAATTTTTGCTTGTCAAAACGAAAACGCAGTAGTACGGACGGGGCCAATGTGGTCATCAAGAAGAAAAAGAAGAAATGGTGTTTAAAATCAAGGAGGAAAACCTTCAAGGGTATTGGCACCAACATCTGTAGCCTCGGTTGGGCAAATTCAGTAAGAAATAATTAGAAATAAAATATTTTGCACAACATACGTTTGCTGATGTTGCGATGCTTTATGGGATAAATCAGAGCGTAACATCTCTCCAAGCTTATGGCTGTAAGATTAAGAACCGAAGACACTCCACAGATGATGTCAAAGATCATATGAACGGTGCGTAATTGATAGTCGTATGTTATTGATACATAAACATACACCGGCACAGAAATTGTTCCGATCAGTATGTCAGCGGTTGCTAATGATATCAATAACATATTACTTGCTGTGCGAAGTCGTCGGTTGACTTGAAATGCACCAATCACCAGCGAGTTTCCAAACACAATCATCAAAGCAAGGATGCAAAAGGCGACAACAAAGGCGATATCAACTTGGTACGATCGGGGAGTACGTTCAATTTCAGTTGTAGCATTTGAAGTAATTGTTGTGTTCGCGAACAATTTGTTGCTATCCATCGGTGGCCGGGTGGCCTACGAGAAAAAATATAAAATTGACAGCAATTCTAACGTAGACCCATCGCAATAAAAAAAACATAAACCCTTCTCACAAGGTATTTCTCAACTTATTTTGCAATTTTTTTAGCTTATAAGCCAGTCTCGGCACTTGACAAATTTCCCGATTTGGCAAACATCAAAAAATGTCGGCAATTTTGTCATAATTTTTTAGCTAAGGCAAATGAATGCTGCAACGGTTTTATTGGAAATAATACTTTTCTCAGCTTTCAGAAAAGGGGGTGCAGTGCAGATGGACTCAAATTTTCACTTTTTTAACCCTGCTTCCTCATTATGGACGTACAGGCGAGGGCTCGACTTCGTGGAAAGAACCCTTTCATCTCGTTTTCATGATACGCGGTCAAATTGATTGGTCTCATTTCGTTTTTAAGGTGATTCAGCAAGGTTAAAAAAAGATAATAAAAAATAAAAGCAGAAGATCCATTATATAATGAGGTTAACTATCTTCAAAAACTCATTAATATTCAGAAGGCATATTATTGGGACGTAAATCGTACGAAAGACCAAGAAAGACTGCCATCTCGGTAAAAACTTAACTTTTAAGGTGTTTCGATACAGTTTTTCAGAGGCCATACCGATATTTTGTGATTTTTTTCCTCGTCCGATCGCTATAAAAATTTCACCAATAATTGGCTATGGATTGGAATGTGTGAAAATGTAGTTTTAAGTAAAATCGATATTACTATGACAACAATAAACAACTGAAAAACTTTGAAATTGATAAGAGCCGAATTTTGTGGGATCTAGACCAGCTACTGGAAATCCAACACTTGGAATTTAAAGTTTGGTGTTTAGCAAACAATCTCCGCAAGAAGTAAAAATTCTGCATGTTTGAATTCGACTAGAACGAAAATATATTTCAAACCTTAAACTTTCAATAGCCGTGATAGATTATTTAGTGAAAGCGTTTTAAATGACTCAAATTATTCTTAAGCAGCGTCAGAATGCTGCTTAATATCATATTTCGATGCTAGGAAATTTTGGTGTATTTTCGTCCTTGCGATCTTGAAAACTAACCCGTTTCCTCACCATCTGTATGAGTGCAACTTCATTCAAAATTTTGACTTTTAGCGCTTTTTTGTATATCTCTGAAACGACTGGAACGAATTTTTTAAAAATCTCTTCATATAATCTTCATAATGTATATAACAAGGTCTGAAACTTTCATAGAGATTGATTTACTGCAACATCTTAAAATTTCAAGACAAACCTATCCTACGACCCTGTCAAAAATCTCTTTTAGTTTGAATTTATCGCATCTCAGTGAATGTAAAACATTGACAATACTTGCTAACAGGAACATATCTTTAGTTCCTTATTTAAGTATAATTTATCACATAGTTGTTGCCAAGTAAAAAAATCAACAACAAAACAAAATAAAATTGCCCACATTTTAAGCAGCATTTTTCTGTTTTTTTTTTTTTTCATAAACTGCGAACGTCAGTCAAAATGGAATTGAATACCTAATTTTTGTCACATTTATATATATTTTATTTTGTTTTGCTGTTGATTTTTATTACTTTGCAACAACTATGTGATAAATTTTTTTATATTTAAACTAAGATTTAAAAATAT